CACACACACACACACACACACACAGTTTTCCATCAGGTGAAGGGGGGGGAGACATATTCATAACACTTTGACCCAACACAGCTCTGAGATTGATGTGGGGAAGAGCGCCCTCGGCAGGAAGCTGCAGGCGCTCAGAGAAGGGAGACGGGCCTTTCCCCAGCTGCTTGGAGGCTTGGAGCCACCGGCATGCATGCCTCCTGGGGTGAGCGCCCTGCGGCTTTGTGGAGGGGAGCCCTTAGCCAGCTGCTTCCGCCCTTTGGAGGCTGGAGTTCCAATTGTTGCCTCCGATTAATTAAAAGCTAAAATCTTTGTTCATTTGGAAATGTTTGGCACCCAAGAAAGCCCACCGAGAGGACCAGCATCTCCAGCCAGCCTGCTTTGGAAACGCATTCTAGGACTGGACACAAACCAAAGGCTTGAATTGAGTCAGGGGAGAAAAAAGGTGTGAACAGGGTCCATCTGTCCCCGGTGCTTCCCTCGCCTCCCCCAGGCCATGGAGAAGGAAGAGGGGGAAAGCTGAGGGGATGTCAAAGGTGCCCTGAACCTCACAGCCGAAACCCAGCGGACACTCCCCCCTTTGCAGGGACGTGGGCGCTTTCAAAGGAAGGTGCTATGGCTCAAGCGCCCTAGCGCGCGCCGGCTGTGAAAGGACCCTCTTCCCTCCACGGGAGAGGGCAAGGATCCTACTTCCCTGGACCAGAGAGTACAGCCAGACCCCCAGCTCGGGGTGCCCTGCGAGTCCCTGAGCCTCCCCGCTAACCCCAGGCGGGAGGATCCCCCCCTTTTGTTCGCGGGAAGAGCGCGTCTGTGCGCAGAGCTGCGCATCGCCCCCTCCAAAGGCGCAAAAAGCGGGGGCGCTTCCTTTGCTCGGTTCCCAGCGTCGCCTGCGCTCGGGCGACCACAGGCTGGGCGCACAGCTCCCCAACTGTCCCCCCCGCCCTGAGTACTCACTTCTCCCCAGTCCCTCCGCTTTCCACGCCGTCTCCTCCACCGCCCCATAGCGCCGCAGAGGCTTCTCTGCTTCCAGATGGGAGGACAAAGATTGCTTTAACTCCATGTCTGGTCCCCGTGGGCAGGTCCACGGGTCTCCCTTTACTCCATCCCTGCCGCGGGTTGCAGGGAGGGAGGCGGCTCCAGCCAGCAGCCTTTTAAGGGGCCGGGCGTTAGTGACGCGACTCCATCTCTTGCTGTCAGCAGGGCTCGGGGACCGGTTACCAAGAGGGGGAGGGATGCAGGGCACATGCGCAGTGGAGGGCTGGGAAAGGCCTGGGGGCTGGGTAAGGAGAAAGGGGTAGATGGATGGTAAGTCTACAAAGTAGAAAGGCAACTAAAAGAAAATCAACAGAAAGGGAGCGCATGGCCAGCTCTCTGCCCACACTGGAGCGGGTGGACAGGAGTCGTTTGTTGGATGCTTGGCATCCAGGCTGGCCCTTGGGGTGGCTTGCGATCTGCCAGAAGCTGCTAGGCTGTGAGTGGGATCCGGGAGCGTGTCTATCTGTGGGCGATGGATCCATCTTTGTGGGGAGTGTGCAGAAGCTTGGATAAGGACCCGGTGCTGTGGATTTTGTGCTCAGCTGACAGTGTGAAGGGGATTTTTCTGTGAGGGTATCTTGTTAGCATTTGTGAATGTGAACTTGGGATGAGCTTGTCTGTGGATGTCTGGGTCGACCCTACACGTGTCTGCGTGAACTTTAAAGAATGAATCACATATTTTGGATGCAGGTCTCACACAGCTATTTGGATCATAGAGCTTTACCTTCCAGTGACCTCGAATTTTATCTGAGTCATGGCAACATCAGAGAGCTTCATAGTAAGGAATTGCACTGTCAACCCAAAGGTAAGCGGTTTGAAGCCATTATCTACTCAGAAGGAGAAAGATGGACAACTCCTTTCATGCAATTTACCACCCACTGAAGGGTCAGCTATGGATCAGTTCTGACTTGATGGCACACAACAACAACATGACACCTTAAAAGTGTAAATGGCATGAAAGAAAGGGCGATGTAGAAGGATGAATGAAAATCAGAATTATAGGGAAGTAGGGAAAGTGCAGTTAGATGATGGCTATTGAAATGAAAATTGTAGAACAAAATGTGTATGAATGGGTGAACAAAAAATACATTTATTTTATATGTTGTTGCTGTTAGGTGACATCGAGTTGCTTGCGACTCATAGCGACCTTAGACCCTGCTCTGTCTTGTGCCAATCTCACTGTCTCTGACACACCCACCCCAACCCAAAATATGACCTTGCTTTATATACGTTCACTCAAATCACAATTAAAAAATGGAATCTAAAAGAAAAACCATAGCTAGATAGTAGAATCAATGAGAGAAAGTATAAAGGAAAACATTTGGCAGAATCAGCACCTAGATGGATGCAAACAAGCACTGATGTTCATTAAATTGTAATTAGGTGCTAAATACTTCCCCATTACTCTACAGAACAAATGCTTTAAATTTTTACTATCTTGACAGTGAAAACAACAAATTTGCTTAAAGGAGGAAGGTGAGCTACAGAAAGATTGTTCTTGCACAAAGAACTTACACTTACCATGTCAAGACTTGAATTCAGAGCCCTCATAGTAATAACTTCTTGAGTACACTGGCTCCCTATAGTTGTGGTGTTTGGTATCATACTAATAGATTCTACAGGGCATGGATGTTTTTCCCTTTTGAATGTTCCCTGGGGAAATCATGGCTTGTGGCTGGATAAATGTCACCATCCTATTTTAATTTTTATTATGGGTTTGCTTACAAAGTTTATATACATTGTGTTTCACACAATTATTCTCATGCACTGTTTTGTGAACGTAAACACCACTGGACATTTCCCATCATTATCCTGTCTTTTTCCTTTACCCAGCTCATTCTCATTTCCTTCCCCCCCACTCCACCCACAAACTGTACAACCATGTGGTTTTGCCCCTACCCATCCTGACCCCTCTGCTCTCACCCTTTCTCCCCTTGGGTTCCCATACATGTTTTACTAGTTATCCTTCTATTTTTACAATCATGATTTTATGCAGTATTTGTCCTTAAGGAACTGAGTTAGTTCACTCAGCCAAAATGCTCTCCAGTGTCTCTCAAGTTATGTAATATTTTTCAAGATCATCATTCCTAAGTGCTGCATGCATTCCATTGTGTGAATGCACCACCATTTCTCAATCTATCCAGTTGTGGTTGGACATTCCAACAGGGTGAAAAGAAAATCTACCAACTGTGAACAAACATTTGCATTCTGTTGCCTGTCTTAATTGTTAACTAATTGTGAACTTAATTGTTAATCAGTTAACTTCCATAATAAACCCATAACTGTGAGTATGGTTCTGTGGTCATTCTGTGGTCTGTGTGGTCATTGCAATGGTTTTAGGACATAGTAGAGCAATTGAGGTTGGTGTGAGAATTGGAAGAAGTAGGTAAAGGGGTGTAAGAGACCATATTCTGACCTTATAGGAATTAGTTATGTCCTGTGGGTCTTATTGATAGAATAGAAATGAGTCCCCTTTGCAAAGTTATTAGAAGTCAGAAATGACTGTATGCTTCCTACACTCGTTTAAAAGAGCTGCACCACAAACTCAAAGGTCATATTTTTCTGGTAGTTTGAATCCACCAATGGCTCCATGGGAGAAAAATGGACAATCTCCTCCATGCAGCTTGTGCAAGCTTGGGAATCCAATGGAGAGAGCCACCTGTGAGTTGGTTCTGATGTAACAACAATGAGTTTGGGGATTTTTTTGAGACCTCAGTGTTATATTGAGTTACTTTAACATTTTTGTTGAAATACAGATGCAAAGAGTTTACTCACGGAATAAGATGATTATAGTTTTTTTAAAAAAATGAGTATTTTAAAAGTCCAGGAGAGGAAAGGGTTTTTATATAGGAAAGTTCTAGCTTTGTTTTTATTTAACATCAGTCAGCTATGTGAATCATAAATTTAGGTTAGAACAAAGGTTTAGAAAATTGCAAGTACAAATTGAGGGAGTTATTTGCTTTGCATCAGCCTAGTTACTAAAGTTACATGCTTAACACAATGTTTAACATGTCTTCAAGTCTGATAATCTTCTCCTGATATTAGCTGTTTCTACCCACAAAGTTATCTCCAAGTAGAATGCGGTGAACAAAACCATAGAAACTGTGCCTCGGTTAAAGGTACAGTGGGTATTTTTTTAACATAAGTGACAGTTTGTACCGCATCACAGGAAAATACAATATGGAGTCATTTAGAATAAGGATGGATTTGGTTTGGCTTTTAGGAAGCTCTTGATTGATCTAGTGGATAAGGTGTTGGGCTGTCAACACGAAAGCAGGCAGTCTGAATCCACCAGCTGCTTCTTAGGAGAAACAGGGGCAGTTTCTTCCCTTTTAATTTACAGCTTCTCAAAACCCTCTGGAGGGTCAGCCATGAGTTGCTTCCAACTTGACAGTCAATAATGGCCACATTAGCCTGAGGTTTCATTCATATCAAAGACCTTTGTTTTGGCATGTTCTTTCTTACTTGTCCTCTTTGGATGGAGAAGTCACCTGGGAATTCAAAGATCACTCTTCTTTTTTTTAAAGAATTTATTTTCTTTCATTATTTTTTGTGTGTACCATCAAATCAGATCTACTGGTACAGGAGGAGATTGTTCCTCCTTCTCCAGCAGAGCATCTGGTGGATTTGAACAGTGCATCTCTGAGATTGCAGTTGCAGCTTCTTGCCACTAGGCCACCAGAGCTCGCCACAAAGGTCACTCTTAAGAGAGCTTTCTTCTCTAGTGGCAAGAAGCTGCTCTGCAATCCCAAAGTCATGCAGTTCGAATCCACCAAATGCTCCTCGGGAGAAGGAAGGACAATCTCCTCCTGGGCCAGCCAGATCCGATTCAATGATATACAAGGGGGGGAATTTTTCTTTTTTTTTTAAAGAAAGAGCGCTTTCTTCTGCATGACCTTTGTTAATCTATAGTTAGTTGGGATGGTTACTCATCGTGACTGTTTGTGATGCCTTATCTTCAGAGTGATCTGTTCTCACGTCTTCCACAAAGGAGTAACCTTTTTTCTGCAAGTGTTGTGTTATATAGGAGTAAAAATGGAAGTTGATCATTTATAAGCTTTTAAACTATAGGCAAATGGTAGCCACGCACCACTAGTTGTGTTGTTTTGGGGTTTTTTTAATCACACTTTCTTTTAAATACTTAGTCTTGGTAATTTCATCATTAAGAGGACTAGAGCATGGATGAATGGGAAGAAGCAACTTGAGATGTACGTCAAATTCCTTTGAATATAACAATAATAATAAATCTAACTGGTTCTACATCTGAGTTACAGAGCATGTCCAAGAGTTGACATTTTTTGGAAATTTTTTAAAATACCAGAGAAAAACTTGGGTCTGGGATGCAGAGCCAAGTGATATAATAGAAGAAGCATTTGATTAGGTGAAAGGAAATTACCGTGAAAAGGAGTATAATTAGGCTAGTTTCTTTTTACAAGTGAATTGATGTTAGGAACAAACTGAAAATACTAAACCAGTAATTAGTACAGCTAATTTTTTTAGTATGGAGCTAGCTAACTTTCTCAGTAAGTATCCTTGTGCTCATCATTCTTATTTTTATATTTGCCAAGAAATAACACAGAGTGTTAATAATGTTGTTGCTGTCAGGTGCCTTGGAGTCACATCCGCCTCTCAGTGACCTTATGAGAGCAGATCCTAGAACCCTGTCCCTTCCTGGGCCATCTTTATCATCGCTGACATAGTTGAGCTTATTGCTGCATTCATTGTGCCACTCCATCTACCTGAGGCTCTTTCTTTCTTTCTCTGACCTTTCCAAGCATGATGTCCCTCTCCAACAAATGGTCCCTCCCTAAAATATGTCAGATGAAGCATCACCACCCTTGCCTCTAAGAAGCATTCTGGATGCGCTTTTTCCAAGACACATCTGTTTGTTCTTCTGGTAGTCCACGAGATACTCAGTTCTCCTCTCCAAGACCACAAGTGACAGGCATCAATTGCTTAACGGTTAAGGAGTTTCATTGACAACCCAAAGGCACCTCAATCAAACCCACAAGTTGTTCGAAAGGA